AGCAGGATATTCTCCAGAGAAATCACCTCGAGCCAATAGGAGGGGGGGGGGGTAACGTTTAAATCCTGTGTTTGCTGCACGGTGCATAGAGTGTAAACATGCGACCATTACGATCTCCATGCACGTCATGAAAAGGCTGCATTACATTTTCTATTTCACAGTGTGGCGCTCTTTTCTTGATGTTTTCCCTCCTTTGGACTACACTGAGCGTTTATATAAAGGCAGGTCTTACCTCAGAAGACCCCGCCCCCCCCCCTCCTGTCACACAGGGATAGTCTCCCGCTGTGAGGAGTATAATGTGAACAGCCAGGTCAGGAGAATCTCCGGAGCAGTCCTCCTGAAATTGTCTAGATATTTTGTGTGCATATGTGAAAACAGCTTCACAAACATCTGAGTAACACATCAGCCCACAACACAACAGCTTCAGTATTTGCCCGGATGGATTCTAATTAACATCAAACACAACGACATACTAAGCTGACTTATGTAAAACAGCTTCAACACAGTTTGTACTGAGGCAGTTAGCATTAACAGCAACATGAATGACCTCCGACTCCTGTTCTCTGCACTGACACTTTAATCTCCGTCTGCCCGATAACGAAGCACGGAGCCAGAGTCGTAAAACACTAAATCCCAGCAGAACTCAAAAGCATCTGATGACTATCAGATGACCGACTGAGACAAGAAATCTGACAGTCACAATGTGAATGTTTTTCTGTCTTTAGAAGAAGTGCGGTCTTAATATGAATATTCAGCAAGTGGAGAAATCAATTATCCATCAGGGGGCTTTGCAAACAAACCCACGCAATGAAAGCATCATACAGACCAACTATATGTACGGTATGAAGAGGCAGAGCCCAGTCCAAAGTTACACTGAAAATTAACAAACTGAGGTTTTTTCTTTTCTAGTATTTAATATGCAAGATTCAAGCAGCCTATTTTTACTGATAGATAGTGGCATAAAAAAACAAATATTGGTCAAATAGTGAACTTACAGCAATGAATTTCAGTCTGCAAAAAATCGTTTTTCAGATTTCATTATCAAATTAGAGACAATTTGAAGACTTCATCCTAGCGTTGTAGCACTCGAGATTGGTCTTGGTCTCAAGGTATCGGTCTCATCTCGGAATTGAAAGCATCTTTACTCGGTCTTGTCTCCGTCTCATACTGAACTGACTCTGGATTTTAAATCAAGACCACCACTGACAGGCTTTTTGACAGGAAAAAGCTCCTTTCTAAAAGAAGAAAATAACTTCAATGCATTTGTAGTTAAGTGTTTACCCCCATTTGTCTGCAACCTTCCTCTGTGTTAGCTTACTGTCTAAATGAGTGACACGCCCACTGCACACAAGATGATGATTTTTCTGTGATGTTTATGGTCTTGGTCTTGTCTTGGTCTCGGAGTCCCTCTGGTCTTGGGTATTTATTGGTCTCGGTTAGTGTGGTCTTGACTTCAACACTACTTCATCCACCTTGCAGTTTGCAGAAAAAAACATACTTTAATATATTTTGATGTCACTGGCGGTGTAAACGGAGGACGTACTTTTGGTCTGAAAAAGGTCTTAAACCTTAAAATCTTAAAAAAGCAAACATCAAGAGACAGTACAAACAACAAAAGAGAATGAGAGTTGTAAAAGCAACAGCAGGAAATTGAGGATACAGTGATAAGTTAATAGTCAGAGATCAGACGACGTTAAGAAAAAGAATACTACATCGAAAGCCAGCAGGGGGCGACTGCACAGGTTGTAAAGAGAAGTCAGATTCAGGGAAGCAGAAGAGAAAATGAGCATTTATCTAGTAAGTTTAGATGTGATTCATCTTCATTTCACTTCAACTCAAACTGCACTTTGAGATTTGTTTAGCAGCCAGTTTAAAATCACACAAGGTAGAGACGATACAGGCACATACAGACTCAGCTCCAAAAACATCTTTAAAAATACATCACTACAAAAAAAACATCAAGTGACCACAGTGTGTAAAACCGTGAGTAAAACCACCATAAAAAAATAGTTGAAAACCATCAAGAGTGACCTGAGACGGGAGCAGATGGCCTAGTGGTTAGGTCCCGGCACGCCTCATGTGGGGAGCCATGGCGTCTTATCTTATAGCTACCGTGAGCCTTGCTAACCAAGCCAGGCTAACTGTTAGTTAGATTTAGCATTTCCATACTCCTCACTCCTCTCCAGCTCTATCCTGATGTGATGGCAGCAATGCCAAAGTAGACGCTTCAAAACGGTACCTCAAACAAATGGATGACATCACATACAGTAGACAACAGGTCAGTGATAGTGTCTCATATGTTCACTTCGACAGAAATACGACCAAGTCAAGCGTGCGTTATAGGTTTTGGTTATGAAGTCCTCGGCCAAGTTCAGAGTCTTCATTTGAAGCGTCCATCCAAAGTCCTGAACCAAATGCTCTGCATTGCCAAAGCACACCGTGCCCTCCGTCTCGTCTATAACTGGATTCCACACTCCCACCTGCTGTTGTTTGATGCTTTATTCTTCTGATTGTTGCAGACAAAAGATCAGACGGCAAAAAGGAATGGCACAGCGTTGACGTGACTCCCGATGCAGCTTCAATACAGGTGAGTAGTCATTCACTGACACAATGCATCAAGGTGAAAGGGCAAGGGCTTCTTTGTATTCTGAGCGTTTTGTTTTGGTACGCACGGAAACTTGGTACAGAGACGCTAAGTCGCAGCATGACAAAACAACAAGACAACAGAATGAACTACAGATAAAAGATGATCATCCTTCTAATGGACTACAAAGACAAATCAAGCACTTGATGAGTTTGTGGAAGGGTTTCACCTCGAATGTGCTGGGAATCGCAGTGAATTATGACCGTGGGTAAACATTTATTATTTACTAAAGACAGAAAAACGACACAGAGCTTGTTTTGCCGCCTTGACAGGAACCAATTAACAAACATTTCAAGACTGAAAGCTCATCCAAAAACAGCGAATAGGCTGGATTTGATTTTCAGCCAATTTCAGCACAAAAAGAAAGTACTACAAGTGATCCTGCTCTTCTCTTTCCGTCTGTAATCACTCCAGTTCTTCCTTAAGAAATACAACATCCGTGCAGAATATGCGGCAAAGATTTTTGACAAAATATTCACAACACGTCTCTGTATGGTGCAGGACAATTTAAGAGCACCACAAACTACAGTCTCCATATAAAGAAGATGAAGTACAGTCAACATCATCTAAATATCATTAGAATTTGTAACTACACAGTAACACTTTGACTATTGGGCTATTAGAGGCAGATTTTGATTTTTTGAAAACAATTTTCTAGGACAAGCCGCCGAGCTATAAGAACTGTTGCTCAAATTACATTTTCAACCAAACAGTTAACTACATTATGTCGGGCTAGGTGAAAGTAAATCTTAGAAACCAGCTTGTACACTTGTCGTGTTACTCTACCACAAACATCTGTTGTAACATTAAAGGGGGGCGGCTGTGGCTCAGTTGGTAGAGTTGGTCGTCTCTCAACCAGAGGGTTGAGGGTTCAATCTCCAGCTCCTGAAGCCACATGTCCGATGTGTCCTTGGGCAAGACACTTAACCCCGAATTGCTCCCTCTGCTTTGTCGGCGGCATATGAATGTGTATGAATGGATTAGTTAATACTGATGGTCTCACTTTATATAGCAACCTCTGCCATCAGTGTGTGAATGTGTAGGTGTGACCTGCGGAGTAAAAGTGCTTTGAGTAGTCAGAAGACGAGAAAAGCGCTGTACAAGCTCCTCCATTGACATTTCAGAAAAGCCAACCAGCTACCTGAATACTCACGACTTTAAAATATTTAATTCAGCAAAACAAAAAACAAAACAGAAGAACGAAAACAGAGAAATAGGTAGAAGACTGTTGTACATAATATTTCTGGTAGTGAAGGAACTACACATCCCACAATCCATTGCAATTCCAACGAGACCCAATAAACAATAATTTAGCGCACCTCATTCAAACTGCATCTTTGATGTAGTGTTAATATTGTTCATATTAATGTTGTAACATATTGTAGTTTGTGTGTAGGCTATATAGGAACATCAGTCGAAGTTTGCAGGGGCGGTAAACGTTGCCATGGTAACAGCGGGCTCCACCAATCACAGACGTCGCTGTAACACTCCAGGACTTAGGGTAGTGGAGTTATTGTCCCTGAGATCGCGATTCAACCGCGTTCTCCTTAAAAGGAGGTCGATATCGTATGAAAGTTGGTCTTCTACAGGAGCGTAAACCATCGTTTCACACTCGTGGTGAGTCTACCTTGGATGGTTATGACATTATGGCAATCACATTATAACATTATAACAATCAAATCTGCTATGGAGAAAAATATTTTCTTATAGAAGCCCTCTGTTGAGCTCTGTGGTCTACAACCTTTAAAAACTGCCCCGAAGAAATGGGGCAATTTTAAGATATCTTGGAAAATTAGAGTAATTTCCACCACAAATAGTTTGTCATTATGTTGAAAAAAGGATAAACCCATTGGCCTATTGAAATCCACCATATATTTCATATGTTCGCAGCTCAGCATCAGTCAGAGAGAAAACTGACTGTAAAACACAGGTATGGCTGTGGCTGCTGCAAAATTCAAAATAGTCTTGAGATGAGGAGAAAAAAACTGCATGATGTAACAACAAGTTCATACCAGAATCACAAAGTAACTCTGGCATCTGAACTCGAGTGCAATGCACAGTACCAAAAAAAAAAAAAAACACACAAACACTGCAGGATAAATGTCCAAAAAGCAACATCGTGAAGGAGATTCTATCCTTGTTTAATATGCACGGCAGCAAAATGAAAGCAGCGGGGTCATTACTGGGTCAGCAGGCCATAGTTCCAGTCACTCCCCGTTTAAATCTACACTGTCCCTGCGGTAATCAGTCCTGCTAGTAGCCGGGATTTAGAGGCAGGAGCCGCATTAAGCTGCACGGCCACTCTAAGTACTGCGCAGGTGACTGTAGTAATAACAGAGAGATGGAAGGTACTTACTTGATGAAGAAACTGGCCCCTTCGTCCGTATAACCTTCCTCCCATCCCCGAGGTAGGTCTGTAAAGAAACCACAGACTTGTTGGTGACACCTGAAAGTTTCCTCTCCTCTCGGGGCCGGGCCCTAAATGCAACACTTGGAAGTTGGCAGCAAAGGTAAACACAATAAAGTGAACACACAAGGGCACATTACACACAGGGCTACCCGCCCCGCAGAGCTACCTGAGCGGATCATGTGTCCGGAGTTTACCGGTTCACCGGAGCGAGGATGCAGCCAGGTAGTGGTCCGCGTCTCATCGCTGAGAGAGGGAGAGAGAGAGAGAGAGAGAGAGAGAGGGGGAAAAACACCTGTTACACCACCGGGAAGGAAACACCAGCTGACAACTCCCGTTAAACCGGGAGACACGGTGCGGTAAAGCGCTCTTTCTTCCACTCACTTGATGAAGAAGACTCTGCCGTCCGCGCAGACACCGTAACACCAGTGTTCAGGTAAGGTGTCCCGCCCGAGAGGCGCCGCCATGATCCGGTCTGAAGTCCTATTTCATGTCATTCCCTCTCCATGGAGTCTCCCGGGAGCTCAATGATCACCGCCAGGGCCGGCGCTGCCTTCAGGAACTCCTCAGAAGCTCGGACAAACAAGCATCTCAAGCTAAACATATTCATTTTAAACGGATATAGGCTTATATTATGTATACGTTTTGCCACACAGGCACAGGTAAAGTCAAACTGAGTAAAAATCGTAAAAAAAAACCAACCTTCTCAGTTAATTGGTGTTGTTAATGTTTGAATTTCATTACTTTATTCGTAAATAGATTATTTAACACATCAATTAATCCCCTGTTTTTTTAAGCAAATGGGGATTACGGATGGATAACTGAATACAGAAAAGACATTGAATGCAACATTGGGATCAGCCATAGGACCCAGTAATAACCAACTACTTTCTCAGCTTACATTTTTTCAAATTTGGTTTATTAAAAAGAAAAGTAGAAAGTTCTGAACTTTACAAAAACATGGTAATGAGCAAAAGTGGAAGAAAGACCAGATCAAGTTTATTATGCTTCTCTTTACAGAAGTCTTAAGTCGTGCACTATTGGTGTTGAAACTGAGTTTTTCCTGCAACAAAGGTTCATTGACATATTAATTCATTTTAACCTGATGGGTTGCTGGGTTACATACATACAATACATACATTAACCTTACAGACTGAGACTTAGGTTGGGAACCGGAGGGTCACTGGTTCATGTCCAATGCGGACCAAGTATGGAAATTGGTCTGGTAGCTCAAGAGGTGCCAGTTCAATTCCTGAGTACTGCTCAGCACATTTAGGTGACGATATTAACAGTTATATCAACATATGACAAGTGTTTGTTTTTTTTAATGCCCATCAAGAAAAGCCGACTTGAGCAGCTTTGATTTTTTCTTTTGCATACCAAACTGTAATTTAACAATATAATATTTTTTGAATACATTACTGCACAGCTCTAAGAGACTTTCTCGTTTACTTTCTGGTTCGGGGCTTTTTAATCATTTCCTACAGTAAATACTGAAGGGAGGGAGTGACAGAGGAAATTGGAATTTTGACCTCCGTTTTTTTTTTTTTAAATCCTGGGTACAGCCTGAGCGACGTAAGTTAAACTTTAAACAAGTGGTCTTAGGGTTTATCATGCCAAACATTTACTACATCCGACAATAAAGGATCTTTGTTGTCTCCCTTGCCTCGTGATGATTTTACTTTTTTAAATCAGGAAGCAACCGCTCCATGCACCGTACATTGGTCCCTAAATGATCCATCAACACAAGTAGTTCAGGGACACTACGCTGTCATTTATCATACTATGATGTCAGTGCGACATGAGGAGCGCCCAAAAGCAAATGTTTAATCAGGCATGTTTCACATCTTTGATCAGTTAAGTGTGACACACTTGTGACACTTGTGTGAGTGTGACACAAATAAGGTCTAAGGTATGTTTTGCACTGCATATGAAATCAGTTCTTCTTTAAAGAAGAAATGCACCGATTAGGAAAATTAGGGCTGATGCTGATACCGATGTTTGAAATAACAATTTAGCCGATTACCGATTCCGATACAGATATTTGTTTCATGACTTCTTTTGGTGTGAGACTCCCACAATGCAACATTTTCTCTCGTGTTTGAAAACGAAAACAAGTCAGACTTTGTTCAACAGGTGACTTCATCTTCCCATTAAAAACCTCTTCTCTGATTCAGTCGTTAATCGTACTAGATGTCAGCATTAAATTAATCTTAACACTCATTTCATCATCACATCTCTGCAACAGAGACATCGATGGAAACTCTGAGTTGTTCACAGTTACCACATTTTCCTTTAGAACTTAAATGCACCACAGCAGCAGGCTTCCACAGAGAAAACAGAGAGCAGGAGAGGAGCTGCTGCTTTTATTTCTCTGAAGCAATCGGTCAACGAAAAGTGCTGATTTTGTGCTCTTTAAAAGACGTGCCACCTTGAGTCTCTAAGTGATTTAACTGAGAGGAGCTGATAATGAGATTAAAGACTTCCTTTAACCAATTAGGGGCCTTATTAAGGAAAGCTTTGGTCTCAAATGTGCAGGCATACACTCTAATTCCAGACAGATCAGCCTGGATTTAGTTGGATACTATTTTATTTATTTTTTTAAGGTTTATTTTTGGGCTCTTTGGGCCACACAGGACAGTGGATAGAGCCAGAAATCTGGGTGAGAGAGTGGGGAACGACATGCAGGAAAGGAGCCACAGGCTGGACATGAACCTGGGCCGCCTGGAGGACCACAGCCTCCACACATGGGGCACACGCACCATCCACTTGACTACCAGCACCCAAAGTTGGTCACTACTCTGTTGTGGCATCAGGAGTTGATATAGTGGGGTTATGAAAAAACTTCCACTACTTTATCTGTTTTCCATATACACACACAAACATAACCACATACGTTCCCGCAGCACTTCTGTACACTGTACCTGCCCAACCCTAAAGAATTAAAGAAAAAAGGGGAACAACTCATTGAGACTATGGTTGGTTCAATATTTTCACAGAGCAGATATTTTTCTCTGATGCTTTGCTCACAATGGAAAGCTCAAATGCATTCCAGGTTCTAATATGTATTTGGAGTATGTGTCACATCGTTATCATTACACCACTTCTTGAATATTGAGCACCTGAAAAGATAATGAACAGTGAATATTTGGAGGGACATCGGCCCATGGAAGTAGAAAGTAGAAAAACATATCTGATGACTCACAAGTTACTGTTGGGCAAAAGGCTAATATTAATATTCAAGCAGTTCCTGGCTAACATCATATTTGATAGTTAATCATATGTATGAAAGTTACTTACAAGCTACAATTTTAGTACTTTATCGCCTCATCCCTGTCCAAGCAAGAAGTAACTTTCTGTAAATATGGGGACAAAAAGTCGAAGTTGTTATTAGGATGAAGTGACTAAACTTTAAAAGCATTAAAGGTCACACACACACATATATATATATATATATATATATGCAAATTAACTTCACCATGTTCTTCTTACACTAATATGTGTCCCTAGTCTGTCAACAAACCCCCCAATGATGAGAGAAGTCCTTCCTCTCTGTCTTCTGCCTGCTCCACTTCTCAGAAAATGTGTGCTCAAACAGGCCGTTTGGAGATTTTCCCTTCATGGCTTCACAAAGAGCAGTAACCCCTCCCCCAGGCGGATGACATTCCCACAGCTAGGTTTTTGTTCTGCCCTCTGAGTCTGCCTTCTGACCGTAAACAATTCATAACTTTCAGTGACGTCACCAGTGCCGAGGGCTGGAGGGCAAAAAAACGCTCATGAAAGTAATGGCCACCGTTGAAAACAGTGTAGAACTGCATCACGGGATTTTAATTTAACATCTCCTATAAATGACACATGTATACATCACCTGACAACCATAGCAAAACTAAGATATTAAGATAAACTTTAAGTTTGGGGCGAGACTTTAACAACACACGGGAAACTATTTATATCGCTAGAAACGGCAAAGTCTGTTCCGGTGTTACGGTTAAAAGAGTTACCTGGTGACTGTCAGCCGAATGAGTCTGGATGTCGTACGTTATGTGTCCTTATGAAAGCATATATTTTTAGCTTTCATTAAAACATATCTCATAAGTAATTATGACATTATGATAATACAAAAACTGAACTGAGAGGCATTTGTTAGGACACTTTCAGTCTGAAAGTCATCAGTTAACATGGTCACTCTTTTACACCCTAAAACCAGAACGTCACTTCAGTGATATTGATGATATTTAGAGGAGAATCCCTCTTCTTACGCCGCTGTAGGATGAACGTCTACAAACATACAGGCAGCTTTATGTATTATTGATCGGTGTGGGTTGATAATGCTGCTGTTCGAGATGTGAAGGGCAAGAAATTCCTCATCATTCAAGCATCGGTGAGTACTAATTAGCTAACATTAGCTAGTTGGCGTTCGCTAGCGATAGTATCAGCTGTCAATTTTAGTGTTCTGGGCAGTAATTTGAGTTAAAGGCATGAATATTTAGATTTAGTCAACACTATAATTGATGTCAGGATGAGGAGAAGTCCAATGTTTCCCGTCACAGGGGCCACGGAGGGTCTAACTGCTTTAATCCACAAACGCCCTTCTTTCTGTTTTTTTTCTCGGATTAAATTCTGTAGAAGCAAAACTCGGGCTTGTATCCTCACCGGTTAGTGTAGCCTATCATATTAAACAACAACTGTATTTCATTTAAAAAATTTAGAAATAAAACAGATAAAAACACGTAGGGGGCCACTGTGACTGGTAACTTCTCAGTAGCGTACAGTGGTAGAAAGCCTTTTTTGCCCTCCAGGTGGGCGGTTCCATAAGAGTGTGACGTCACATGAAAGCTATGAATAGGACATGGAGCGAGAAAGGTCAAGCCCCCCAAGCCCTTCCAGAGAGGGACGTGGTCAGACACAAATCATTTACATTTAAAGGTACAGACACAGAAACAGCCTGTTCTAAGCAGGGCTGAAATAGAGTGGTTTATATGCATGATCAAATACAGGAAACTTCACAGACATGTTTTGAGACTTATTGAAAACTGTTGAAAATGAGGAGAATATGTGACTTTCAGGAGGATTTCCCTTCACAGAGCTACTCCAATAGAACCTTTATAATTACCAACTTTCACTTTATTGTCTCCATGGAAACTTGTTTCACAGCACAAACACACTGAAAGTACAGGTATATAGACTTAAAAACATTAAAATACTTAACTATGGGTATACATGAAGCGACAACACAAAGTAAACCATCCTAAAATAACATAATCTGTCATCGATAGTGAACAGGAAAATGATTCATACTGGGGACGTTTAATTATATGATGCACTGAGTGAAATAATTTTGCATCCTGTTGGACTTGTTGAGGTAACCTGACTTTCCTGCTGGAGGGCATGGAGCTCAAATTTACACAGGACACAAAAACAACATTAAGATCACAAAATGTTTTGGAAAAATAGAGTCAAAGTTCAAGAAAACACCTGGTTACCTTCTAAAGCCTGCTCCACTGGTAAACAGCCCCACGACCCAATTTTGGGTCCCAGGCCG